GTCCTTTAACAGACTCCAGGATTTGCTTTTCTTAGGTGAGTCATAAAACTGGCTTTGAAGGCATATTCCAAAATGGAATTTTAGAAAATATTGTGGCTACATTGAAATTGGATTTTGGCCTTCTACCTCAGTAAGAAGAAAGCTCATTTGTGTTTCCACAGGATAATAACGCATGTGGGTAAAATTAGCTCTCCTACTTGGGTGATCTCTGCTCTGTAGTAAAAGGCAGCTCAAAGCTGCAGTTGGCAGATATTTTTCAAACGTGACAAGGGCAAACTAAATAACTGATCATTTCCTAGCAAGTCACCTCCAGTACAGGAGGAAAAACTTCAAATGCAGGGGTAGGTGAATCATCCTTTTCTGACATCCTACATTGCTTCCTTTACATACGAATCCACACTATGCTAAATGATGAAATCATTGTCGCCAAACATCTCCAAACTTTGAGCTGTGACTTGTAGAGCAGTTTTTCATATTTTCTAGCAGCAAAGTCAACAGGAAGATATTAAATCAGTGTTTAGGGCAGGAGAGGTATCTCAGTCTGCAGAATGCTTGCCCAGCAAACAGGAAGCCCTGGATTCAATCCCCAGCACCAAATAAAACTGCAGTGTCAGCTCACACTTGAAATTATAGTGCTTGGGAGGTGGAGGCAGGGAGATCAGGACTTGGAGGTCATCATCAGCTACACAGTAAGTTCAAGGGCAGCTTGGGCCACAGGAGACCTCGTGTTAAAAACAAACAAGCAAACAACCCAGTTTTTAAAAAAATTATTTTTTTATTTTATGTGTATGAGTGTATTGTTAGCACGTAGGTTGGTGCACCCTTTGTCCTACAAAGCCACAGAGGTCAGAAGAGTGCATCAGATCCCCCGGAACTGAAGTTTTGGATGGCTGATAGCCACCCTATGGGTGCTGGGAATCAAACCCAGGTCCTCTGCAAGAGCAGCCAGTGCTCTTAACTGCTGAGCTGTCTAGCCACAAAACCCAGTGTTTAAAACCTGAGAATAAGATCAAAGGGAAAATAGACATCTGTTCACTGTGTGGCATAATTTAGTAAAATGGCATGTGGTGGCTGATGGGAGAATTCTGAGAGGAGTGGGTGGCACGGGAATGCTGTGGACAGTGATGCTGCCAGACGTATACCTTAGTCGAACCCTGAGACAAGTCTCAGGCCTGGTCTCTCAGTGTGGGATCTGGGGCCCACTTTTCTCCCTTGAGCCTCCTGCTTACCAACCCATTGAAAGCACAGGCCTTATTGCAGTCATCATGTGGTAGTCTGGCAGGCTTCTGCTTTCTGTTTTCTCCGGGCTCTTGGGGGCAGCTCTCTGTCTCCCTCTTCTTCCCAGAGTGGTCCTGAGGTAAGTCTGCCACACTGTTTGCATCCTTAGCACCATTTCCTTTCAGTCTCAGAAATCTGAGTTTGGATGAACACATCGGCTCTTGAGGTAGAGTCCATTTCAGCACTGTGGGGCCTGGGAGCTGACACTGGCACCCAGGTCACAGACCTACTTGCTCCCCATTTCCTATTAACCCCCTCCCCCCAACCTAGGAAGTTAAGACTACTACAAATGGTAACATGTTCATTGTTCTTGCTTAGTGTGACAGTCTGTGCTGTGGGTTCAGAATGAAAGGTCATTATTAAAAGTTTGTGGTTAATGAGATAATTTAATAAAGACAGCTGAAGGCTAGGGTACCCATCTTCTACTTTACCTACCTATGTATCTGTCTCTTTCCCCTTTCACCTACTGTCTTAGTTACTTTTTCCTGTTGTTGTGACAAAGTAACCCAACAAAGGCAACTTAAGGTTTTGGTCTGGCCTGGTGGTACAGGTCTTTGATCCTAGCACTCTGGAGATGGAGACCATCCTGGTATACATAGTCAGTACCAGGCCAGATGGGGCTTCAGGGAGGCCCTGTCTAATCAACCTCCCCACCCCCCCCAAAAAAAAAGAGAAAGGAAAAAAGGTTTTATTTTGCTCAGAGTTCAAGGATAAGTCCATCATGGTGGGGAAATCAGGGTGGCAGGAGCTTGTTGCAGCTCGTCACATTGCATCCAGTCAGAAAGGAGCCATTGATAAATGTGTGGATGTTAGTCCTTAGTTCCCTTTCTCCTTTTCGTTCAGAACCCAACCAATGAAATGATGATGCCCACTTTTAGGGCAGTCTTGCCTTAGTTAACCTAATCTCCACATACGCCTGTTCAGAGACTCCTTTCCTAGGCGAGTCTAAGTTCTGTCCACTGACAATCAATATAAGCCATCGTACTTTTTACATTTTCTAGAAATAAGACCATGAGAATCAGAGTATTGAGAGGGTATGGTTTTGCACAGGTAGTTTGAATTGGAATGGATGGACACAATGCTACCCATTTAGACAGAATATAACCAGTTCTTTTGAAAACACTGCTCTCTGCAGAAGTGAGACCTGATCAAAAATCATTCCAAGAGACAATTATACCTAGTTTCTCTCCTTACGTAAATCACCTAAGTCTATATACTTTCTATGGCTTTTGGTAATTGGAGAGTATTTTAGAATAATAGTTTGAATGATCCTGAGGGTTACACTTTGTGTGTTTAGAAGAAGATGCATCACTTGTTCATAAATCCACTGGGTCAGTCACCAATATCATTAGAGCAGCATTTTAGGGCCAGAGAAGAACATAGAGGAATGAATGGCCCTGGGGCTGGGGCCCTCAGTAATGTGCAGAATGTAGATGGATGCTTGTCTGTTTTAGATTTCCTTGTTCCATATTATTGTTTATTGTTTGACACGTGATACTCCATTACACACACACACACACACACACACACGCACACACACACACACACACACACACACACACACTCTCGTATAAACGTTTTGATTGAAATGTACATTTTATAAATATGTTTATGACTTGGTCAACTATAAAGATGCCAGTACTATTAATTTATGCACAAGGCTCCATACTTAATCAGCTGTTTAACTTTTTAAAACTTGTATTCCTTTCTTTTAGCCTTCTCTAGGTAGAGAACATAAATCCATAATCATAATCTCTAGTGGTCAGATCAAACTTTTCTAAATGTTTGAGAGCTCAACTTTTAGAATCAAAAAAATTTTTTTTGGCTTCTTGAGACAGGGTTTTTCTGTATCCCCAGCTGGCCTCAAACTCACTATGTAGATTAGGTTGGCCTCAAACTCACAAAAATCCACCTGCCTCTGTCTCCTGAGTGCTGGGGTTAAAGGTGTGCACCACCATGCCCAGCCTTCACAGCTCTACTTTTTTTTTTTTTAACTAAGTAAATCGTGTAGACAAAATGAAACGAACATTCCTCCATTTGAATTTGTGATGTACCTTCTATGGAAAAAGGGAACGAGGTGTGTGTGTGTGGGGGGGGTATATATACGCACATGCCATGGTGTTCAGAAGCCATTACTGAGTGTCTTCCTCAGTTGCTGTCCCAAATTTTTGAGACACATTCTGTCACTGACCCTGGAGCTCACAGCTTCCACTAGACTGGTCAGTTAGCAGAACCCAGGGATCTTCCTGTCTCTGCTTCCCCAGTGATGGGATTAGAATTGCACACCACCTTAACTTTTTACATGGATTTTTGGGACCCTAATTCAGGTCTTCACACTTGTAGCCCTTTGCCAGTGAAACCATCCCCTTAGCCCCTCAGCTGTATTTTAATAAAAACATTTACCATTAGCCAAGTGTGGTGGTACACACCTTTAATTCCAGCACTCAGAGGCAAAGTCGAGTGGGTTTCTTTTTTTTTTTTGAGTAGGAAATAGAATTTATTCTAAAGAGCAAACATCTCCTCTCGTCTGGAAGGAGCTGTTCCTAAGGAGGGCTATGATGTTAGGAGAGGTGACAATTGGACTTCTTTTTTTTTAAATTTTTTTAAAGCTTATTTTATTTTTAAAAAATTTTTAAAATTTAATAACCACATGATTAAAAGAAGCATTTCATTACAGCTTTAACATATTCATTAACACATTCCAGAGCAAGGATACATCCCTTTCAAACGTGGCTGTAAATTTTTAGGTTCACAGTTGAATTAATACAGTCATACAATATTGAACTCAGCATATAAAATTGAGTGAGTTTTTACCCTTTAAGGGAGATCTCCTTTTCATTTTAAAATATGCTGTTTCCTACATTTTTAATGCTACTAACACATGTTTGCATGTCTTTAATCTCTGTGTATCTGATTATTAGTAGTCACAGTCGGTTACACTCGGATCCTTAGTACCTGAGTATGGATATAAAGTCAATGTATTTCTGTGAGTTTGAAGTCTGCATAGGGAGTTCCAGACTAGCAGGGCCACGTTGTAAGACTTTGTCTCAAGAAAGAATTTAATATGTATCTAAAGATGTGGATTGCCTTCAAGATGAAGTCTTGACAAAATGTTTGTCACATGTACAGCGAGACTATTAACCAGTTTTCAGGTTAGTTTCTGCTAGTTATAAACACTGTCAAATAAATTGTATTTCTTTTCAGTCTCAGAAACCAAGGGATGGGAGGCAGTCCACCTCATTTGGATGAGTCTTGGTAGAAGCTGGCATGCACAGAGGTTAAATAGAAGAGGCTTTAACATGGCTTAATACTTTAAAAAATATTTTATTTATTATTTTTATTTTATGTGTAGGAATGTACAGCCCGCCTGTATGCATGGGTGACCGTGTCATTTAAAGTCCACAAAGGTCAGAAGAGAGTGTTGGATCCCCTGGAACTGGAGTTACAGGTGGTTGTTAGCTGCCATGTGGGTGCTGGGAATCAAACCCAGCTCCTCTGCAAGAACAACCAGTGCTCTTAACTGCTGAGTCGTCTCTCCAGTCCCTGGTTTAATACTTTTATCCTGTACCTGTGATACACTGTGACACTGTCTGCTCACAGTTGGGTGCTTTGGAATTTGGGTTCATTGTCACTTGTGTTTCTGTTTTATATAATTTGTGGATAAATTAATGCGTAGCAAAATCCAATCTGTTTTTAAATAGATGTTTATGTTTCTTATCCAGGGTTACCAAGGCATGGTGGATGGAGGTTCTAATATTGTGGAAGCAGACTGGGAGAGTGTCTCGAGCATTCTGCAAGTGGTAGGTGCCATTTGTTTCTCCAAGTTGAAGGAACTGTTTTAGTTTGAAACCTTTTATACTTGTGCCTTAGTAATTGTTAAAACAAGTTAACATCCTGACTAGCATTATTTTGGACCCGCTGTGTGGACAGAAATCACCCCTTCTGTGTTAGTCACTTGGCTGTCACTGCGACGGATACCTGACTGAAACAACTTTAGAAGGAAGGATTTGTTTAGGGTCATGGTTCAGGAGATACAGCCCATGGTGGCAGGGGACTGTGGCATGGTTGTTACAGAGGGAGCTTTCTGCATGACTTATTATTACCTCTGGGAGATGAGGCAGCAAAGAGCTGGGGCAAGAACCAGAGGTCACTATGACCTTCAAGGCCCACCCCCAGCTACCCACTTCTAGGTAGGCCACAGCCCCAACGTTTCTACAATCTCCCAAACAGCACCACCAGTCGAGGACCAGGTGATCAGACACATCAGACTGTGGGGGATATTTTACATTCAGACCACAACATGTGTCATATAATTAATGTTGTTTTAACTTTCATTTTATTTGTGTGTGTGTACCTACATGGGTATATGTACACAAGTGCACGCAAAGGCAGAAGAGAGTGCTGGAACCTTAGGATCTAGAGTTACAGCCGTTTGAAGGATGCCTGGCTTGTTATGTGGGTTCTGGGATCCAAACCCTGATCCTTGTTGATTGTACAGCAAGTAGTCTTGACCACTGAATCTCCCCAGCCCTTAATTTTAAAAGGATTAAAAACGTCTATGTGATGGTAACTCAAAAGTATCTTTGCAATACAAACTTGTACTACTACTGTTCATGTGCAACTCTGGCAGATGAGTGGTTCTTTGGGGGCAGACTTTGGTTGGCTGGTGCTGTGTGCCCATTGGCAAATCTCTGTGCCCCCTGGATTTTGGCACCCAGGGGAACAAAGTCTGGGAAAGAGTGTTCCTCACAGTCCCTAGGGCTGTGGATTTGACAGAGCCATTACATCCCTGCTGTAGCTCGAATCAGACGCAGCTCATTTCCGTGTTGTGCACAAGGAAGAAGTAATTGCCAGTGAAGGCAAAGCGGTTGCTTGTTTTGAATTCCAGAGAAATCTGTCCAAGGCCCCATATGTTTCTGGGACATTTTGGCTTAATGAAGGGTCCAAATTAGTTGAGAAATAAAGAGAAGCTGCAGAAAGAATAGACTTTGCGTAAAGCTCTTTATTTGTGGTTTGAGCTTTTCAAATATAAGGATTCATTTGTGACTCATCTTGAGTGCCTTTTAATAGAAGTCAAACTGGCAAATTCAGCGTGAATGTGCTAACGAGGTGTGCTTTTAACACAGGTCACACTCTGAGTTTACACTTGGAAACGTCTTAGTTTACGTACTTGGAAAGGAGTGAAGGGAATTTTGGCAACCATCTATAATCAGGCAGAGCAATGTTGTAAGACTTTAGCACTTGGCTTCCACAGGGAATATACATGCCCGTTTCGTGATTGAGGGAGAAGAGCAGATGCAAGCGTGGTTGAAGGGTATGGCGTGGTCAGTCTGTGAATGAGGCCTGTTTCTTGCAACTTGGTCCATCCTGTGTTTTCAACCTTGGTGTTTTGTTTTGTTTTTAAATCCTGGTGTTTTTTGTGTTCCATTCCACTTCCACTTGGAGCATGTGGACTGATCTTCTATCTGATCATCAAACCAAGCTCATCTCTGCCTGGACTCTGTGCTTCTCACCCCAAGCGTGCCTCTGTGATGCCAGATTGCGTGTTTCCGATCACACATAGCATTAGCCATGTTAGTCCAGGATTGCTGCTGCTGGTGTGCTCCCCAAAGCATTTTGGAATGAATTTCAGTTTTCTTGGTGACTTTTATATACTGCTTTGAAACCAATTAAATGGTGGTGATTGTCACTTAAAAATAAAAATTTTTTGACTGTATGAGTTACAGATATATGCAAACACTAGCATATAGGTCAGCATAAAGGGTTTTCAGTGAGCAATCGAAACGAGAACTCTGTGTTCAGCATCAAACCACCGCTCTTCAGAAGTAGTGCTCGTGTCCTTGAGGGATGGTATCTGTGTTGCTTTTCAAATGCATTCATTGTTTACTACAAGACTCTTGCATTGTTCTAAATTCTTTTCTTTTTGAAAATCTGTATAGAAAGTTACTATTTCTTTCTCCTAGAAGCTTGGGGTATCAAATTTAAGATTCCTTAAGATTTAGCTCTTATGAAAGGCTTGTAGTGATTTGTGCCTGATGCTATCCGTTGTGTGTACAGATGGCATAAGTACTCTCCAGGACACAACATAAATGGCAGCTTTTGCTGAGAGCACAGATCAACCGCCACCCTTGCATTTTGTCCTAACCCTGCTTGGGGACAATTACACCCGGGCTGTATATGTTAACTGAAAGTGCGCATCTCTCAGATTTCTTTGGTTTGCAGATCCCTGATCATTTAGCTAGAATATATACTAAGATCTGGCTTAAAGTAGATCCTGGTCACCTTCAGGAGGCACAACAGGTTGCTCCTGAGGTCCTGGCTGATAACCAGTGATGCAGACACATCTTTCCCTGTGTGTGTGGCTGGTCCAGTTCATCCATTGTTGGGTGGCTTTGACCCAAGCAAGCTGGCAGGCTACTGTAGCCCTGTAGACTATTGTACATTTAGTTGAAGGCTGATATCTGTCTTTTTATATCTAACTGGTCACTCTTAGCATCACATAGATGAATCACATAGATGAGTTTCTTCATGGAATTCCAGAGTGAAACTAAAACTTTGACAGTAGACTGATTAATGAGGAAAACCTAGGTAAACACTCTACCTGTGTAGTGGATGAAGCCTGTGTGGACCCACCTGGCTTCCTGTCAGTGAACATGATTTTATGTCTTTTCCAGGGTGGAACGATTATTGGCAGCGCCCGTTGCAAAGCCTTTCGTAGCCGAGAAGGGCGACTGAAAGCCGCCTGTAACCTGGTTCGGCTGGGCATCACCAACCTGTGTGTGATCGGTGGGGACGGAAGCCTCACTGGGGCCAACCTCTTTCGGGAGGAGTGGAACGGACTTCTGGAGGAGCTGGCCCGAAATGGTACTTTTCCACTTCTCTTTCTCATCGTTTCCTGCCTCTACTTTGTCAAGGTGCCTCTGAGAGCTTTGGAAGTCATACACTTCCTCTTCAGAAAGGATTTATTTTATTTATAAGCGACACATGATAAATATTCACAGCCAATCTTCCTGGTTTTTTTTTTTTTTTGACAGGGTTTCCCTAATTCCAGCCCTTCTTGAAGTCACTAGGTAGACCAGGCTGGCCTCAGTCTTACAGAGACCTGTCTGCCTCTGCCTCCTGAGGCCGGGGATTAAAGGGGCACACCACCCAGCATGGCAATTTTCATTTTTAACTGGGACTTAAGAGTGGATTTTGTTGCAGTTCTTTTGGTTTACCATCTCAGCACTTAAATTTGCACTTCAGGTAACAGCTAAAATGATAATCAGCCCTACTATGTGCCAGGCACCCACTCACCCATTTTTCATAGGGAGCCCTGTGAAACCCTCATGATAGCCTCCTGATATAGGGTTCTTATCCATCTACATTTTAGGTGAGGATTCACAGGTCATAAGGGAAGCCACCTGGCTGTGAGTGTGGCCTCTGTCCACACCCACCCTCAGATGCCAGTTCCCAGTCTTTGAGCCTTCAGATGCCAGTGTCCAGTCTGTATTCCTGCTGGGTTGTCCAGCTAACCTGCTGCAAGGTTTAATTAGAAGATGCTGATCTGTACATCTCTTGTGTTACTTTTGATGTCACTTAGGAAAGGGTTTCTGAGACCCATGTATGAACCAAAGTCTTTATCTCCTTAAAGCTGTTATTATGCAATTGCAATGTCTTATCAAATATACTTGGCCAGAGCATATTTCTCAAAAGAACAGCAACTTCATCAAAAACTCAAGCCTGAGACAAAGTATGTGTCCTCAAATTGCATAAACAAAACAAAATCTACTGAGGGAAGGAGACACAAAGGTCTCAGTTGTCTATCTCATCTGTCACCAGGAATATTGTGGCACAGCCTAGGAGCAGTCACCACGGGTCTAGATCTGAGGCTGACACTCCCTCTGTGACCATTCCAATTTCATCTATACAGAACTGCCTGTCCCAGAGTGTCTGTCCTGAGAGAGCTAGCTATATACCCAACCAACTAGCTTGGTCCCTAAGCATCTACAAGAAATCTGTATGAACATGATCATAAGTTTCTAAAGTACTTAACTCTGAAATTATAGTGTCTTTTTCAGAGTTGTTATGGTCCAAAGCCATTGCTAAGTAAAATGGAAATTTTCATCTACCAATTGCAACCTGAGGATCTTTTCATTTTTAATAACTCAGTATTCTTGCTAAGTCCAAGTGACACCTCCAATTTTGTGTAATTACTTCCAGATTCTCTTTCCTTCAGCATGCTGATTCAAGGTGTGTACAATTCTGGGGAAATGAGTCGAAACAGAGCTTTGGATAATTGAGTTTCACACCATGACCATCGTGTCACACATCTAGTGAGCACTAGGGAAACTGGCCACTCTTACTGGTCATGCAGTGTGTTGCTTGTCTCCAATGCAGGTGAGATCGATAAGGACGCAGTGCAGAAGTATTCATACCTCAATGTGGTGGGCATGGTGGGCTCCATCGACAACGACTTCTGTGGCACAGACATGACCATCGGCACAGACTCAGCTCTGCACCGAATTATTGAAGTTGTTGACGCCATCATGACTACTGCCCAGAGGTAAAAGGACTTAGAGAAATGAACAGGATGTTACTTCTGGCTCTAGAACGTTCCATAGACACCACATTATATTTTTTTAATGTGTTTATGGGAGAGAAATTAGAACACAGAAGCAAACAAAATAATTACAGTCCCCTAAAAGTTTCTTCATGGAATAGAAAAAAAGAAAAAAGTTTGAGTGAGTTTTGGCACACTTCTTGTTAGAGAGGAGAGAGAGCTTAGTGTCACTGGTAGGACTCCAAGTTACAGACGAATCAGACTGAAGTTAGAGCAATAACAGTTCATCTTCAGTGAACATTACTAAGACCTTTCTAAAGTGCTTTGGAGTCTGTGAGGGACTTTTCTTGAAATTCTAAGCAGGATAAGGGCTTTCTGGCTTAGGAGTTTGTAGCTTGACATTTAGAATGTTGGATCAAGCTCCATGATAGAGACTGGGGCCTTGTAGTCCCCTTTGTGTATATGATCCATTGGTGTGAAGTCTGTGACAATGGAAAACCATATCACTTCTTCAGGGTTGAAAGAATGACTCAGAGAAGCTGGAGTTTTCCATTGTAAAGAAGAATGCAGTCATCAGGTGGTGATGAAGCTGATTTGATTTGTAACATTCACACTCATGTTTCGCCAGCCTGTAATACATGATCTCACTTTGTAGCACAGACTGCCTTTGAACTCCCAACAAGCCTACTTCCAGCCTCCCCGGTTCTGGGATTACAGATTTGAGCTCTGCCAAACCCTGGCTCTTGATAGAAGTACCTGACAGCCCAGAGTAGATAGTTATCTAAAAAAGAGCATCTTAGAAGTGTAAGTAAATATTAGTGCATAAGTGGCAGATGTTGTAAAATACCTGTTAGAAAATGGTGTTGGGATGTAGCTTAGTTGGTTGAGTCCTATTACCCTGGCATGAAGGAAGCCCTCGGTTCTATTCCTCATACTACGTTAAGGCGGGCTGGATGCTGGTACATACCTATGGTCCCGGCACCTGGGAGGCAGGAGGATCAGAAGTTCAAGGTCACCCTTGGCTACATAGAGAACTTGAGGCCAGCCTGGGCTACATAAGACCGCATTTCAAAACCCAGAAAAGGCAGTTGCTGCTGACACCTTTTTAATTCCCTAGATCAGAGATACTTGGAGTGGTGTTTGCTTTTTGTAGACAATGAGTCAACTTTTAGAAGTTTGGCATCTGCTCTAGTTGTGAAGCAAACTTTCTGTTTATCTTGTCTGTGAGAACATTTTTTCCCCTCTTGCCAGTGGTGGTGAGTAAATGTGCCCTTTACTTCTTTTGCAGTCACCAGAGGACCTTCGTCCTGGAGGTGATGGGGCGACACTGTGGGTAGGTACTGGCAGATACCATCCTGGTGGGAAGGACCCTCAGTGTCATCTGTTTAGTGCTGTTATCATGGATTGCAAGGGGGTAGTTCACAGAGGAGCCAGTAGCTCCCACCGAATATCCAGGGCCATGGCTGCCTGAGGTTGTCTCTGGATGACACAGTAGCCTTGTGGTGGGAAGGCTCCTTTCCTTTTGGTGCATTAATTACCATCTTCTGTGCAGGTACCTGGCCTTGGTAAGTGCTTTGGCTTGTGGTGCAGACTGGGTGTTCCTTCCAGAGTCTCCACCAGAGGAAGGTTGGGAGGAAACCATGTGCTTCAAACTTTCAGAGGTAATTGAATTTCTGCTGCCACTGACTCTAGGGATTCTGACCCCTTCTTTGGAGGGGATCTACGAGGACTCTGGGTTGGACAATCTGGATGACTTTTTTTTTTTTTTTTTTTTTTAA